AAAAATGAAAGAATACTTAGAACTTTTAATTTTATTTATATTTTTTTGAATCCTTCTGTATGTCTTCTAAGTGAATTCAGTGTGTTTTGGCGCGTCACACGAGCGGAAATCCATATTTTTTCTGAATTTTATAAATGCGAATATGTATTTCCAATATATGAGTGATGTGGGCACGCACCCAAATACAAAYAGAAACCGTTTTTGCGTTCTATACACACTTGGGACAACATTTATGGTAGGTAAATATATAACACACGTACATACATATGAGTAAGTACATAAACACATGCTCATGCCCACAGTTCGTTGCCTGTTTGGCTAATTGTCTACATTTACATAATTACATACACATGCATGTACGTATGTTTGTCTGTTCGCGCGCCAGTGCTGGCCAAAACGAAATGGTAGCACTGCTTAGCGTACWGCCTGCTTGACTGAATGACTGTTTGATGGACAAGCTGCAGTTGGTGCCCAGAATACAATCTCCCCGGCAGACTAACTAGTTAACTATCTGTTTTGTTTAGGTATAAATAAATGTTCGTCCAATTGTTTMGGCTAATCGAATAATATACATACGTAAATGTGAAATACATAGTTGATACTTTTTGTTGTTGGCAGCACAAGTAATTTATTGAAAGTTTTATTTTATGTGTAGCAATACATATATGGAAACTTTTACACATACGTATGCATGTCCATACGTACGTACGTACATATAATTGATAATTACTAGTCCTAACTGTAGCGGTATTCAAAACTTATTTTATACGTGCTACAAAACAGTCCTAAAGCTAAAGTAGTTCGCTGTGCCAATGGTTCTATTCATCACTGTATATACATATTATATGTACATACATATGTATGTTGATGTAGAATATCTTGTATTTATTATTAACTAAAACTTAGGAAATAGGTATATTATTTTATTTTYAAAGTCTATTTTTATTTCCAAGTACCTTTGGTGCGGTGCGTCGTCGTCTTTCTCATTTGACTCAAAACGCTGGAGTTGGTGGCTAGGCGAGTTACACACTGTAAGCGGCAACGCAAACTAAGAATACCGTATAACGAGTTGTTGTTGGGAGAAAAAGGTAAGCAAAGAATTTCAAACAGGAAATTCAACACTAACACTTTGCACGCTGATTTCTTCACTATTCATAGATTTTCTAAGTAATACAATATTTTCCTATTGGCATTTTCAACATTTAACAATTTCTTTACTATTTATATTTTAAGTGTGTACACTTTATACGTATTTCTGTTTTCGAGATTTAAGCAAATGTGATTTTTATTTTTTTAACTTACAAATTTTTTTTGTTCTAATTTTAAAACCGTTTCTACTCATTTGTCTTGCCTCTATTCTCCAGCTCTGGGTATTTATTGTATTTCGTTTTGCTTTTACACTTTCCAAGCAAAAACAAAAAGTTGCCTTGCCCAAGTAAACAAATGTTAATTACTTTAAGCAAATTCTATATATTTACAGCGAAAAGTTGCACTTCAAACGGCGACGAAGTGAAAAGTAAAAAACAAACGTATACGAAATAATCCGCGCGCACACACACCTATACACACGGTCTACATATACACCACTCAAGTGCAATTCGTTCTCGGCGTTACGCCCACAAAACAACGATTTCTGGCAATTCTTCGTTAGTCCGTACGCACACGTCTGTTAACGGCAGCAGATCTCGTAAAACTAAACTCAAATTGGAAAGAGATTGACCAAAATCAATCTTTCTACTCGTGACCAAATGGCTCTACTCACAGATACTACCTGCGCTGTTACCATACAGTCTGAATAAATATACACTGCAAAAGTGTCTATGCCGCACAGCTGGCTGCTGATGAGAGCCTCCACTGCTCAATATTCAGTCAAAACATCACTCACAATTGCATGCAAATAGATACGTCTCTCACAAATATGGGAAATACACATGAGTACTTACACACATCCATATGTATATAAGTGATTGTATCTCTTGTTGGGAATACATTGTATCTCACGGTTTTCCGCCGTGGCGGATATTTAACGGAGCTGCGCGTACGTTGAGGGCACTCCGCTTCAACAGTGTGACATTGCAGCTTTATAAAAACGTTGGRCACAATGCCACCCTGAAAGTAGTAGACCAGTTAACATTTTCTTTCCCAAACCTACCAAACTAACCAAACCAAAACCAAACTAAAATAATATAAAACTAAAATTTAAAAAATTCAAATAACTTAATAAAACATATGTTATTTCAAACGATTATAGCTGGCCCCTGCATTAAATTAAATGTTGTACAAATTGGCAGCACTTAGTGAAGTTACAAGCCCACTATTTGCAAAGTACCAGATTATCACACCTCCCTTACAGGGTGGTCCCAACGATAGTAATCTTAAAAATTAAAATTACTATTTGGCACACGGAATTTTCTAAAAGCAATGACTAACAAGAAGCAAACACTCTAAATAATCGGTATTGCAAAATATATTTCATTGACAGTTTTTGTGTGTGAAATTTTTTAAAGATTTTTTAGGAAAAATATTTGCGTAATCTCCAATATCGCAAGTAGAGTCAAGAACCACACGAGTTCCTTTTGAGTTGGCAACCCGGTGTTATGAAGCAAATTTATTTGACAGCMCGAAAATAATTGACAGTTGCCTGCGCCCGCTGTCGTGAATTTGCGATTTTTTGTAGCGCGTTTGATATAATTTATTTCTGACACAATTCGCCTTTGTCTGTCTATCTGCGGTGTTTGTAGGCTAGTTGGATTTTCCTGCGTAAAGTTTATGTACAATATTTGAATAAGACGAGCGCACAGCCAGGAGTATTCAGTGATTCAAAAGAACRTTGTGTGTGAAAATGTCAAACTCAAGCGTTGGCGATAAAATTGTAAGTTTCTTGTTTGATTGGTAAGCTTTTTGTTTTCTTATTGTGCTGGTCTGCATTGTATTGCACTGTTTTGGTTATGGCCAACCGTTGTAAATGAAAGGATTCTTTGGTCAACGATATGCTGTGGCCGGAACGGAGCTATAGCTGCCAATCGCACATACGTATGTATATGTTAAAATTAGCAAAGTTGTTTAGATCAAGTGGTAGAAAGAAACATTTTTGAATTTTAAATAGTTGAAAATTCATACGCGAATAAGGGTAATATTATTCCAAACGTACGCATCAATCATTTGATATTTTGTGCGTCTGCTTTAAATGCTACCGGCAGCCGGTTAATGCCGGCAAAAATCAWAAAAGTCAATAGAGAAAAGCCGGCACAACACGAATCCATCCTCGACATCATTTATACAGCTGTGAAACACAAACAACAACAATCAAATTACCACAAACCAATATATATGTACACAAGCCGTCAGAGGGGTAACGTAATGTGCGGCAGATTTACGGCAAACCAAGTAGCATTTTCGACAAATAAGAATGAAATAAGAAAATGCATTAACTATATACTCGTGTAGGTGACAAATCTGTAAAAATTTGGCAATCTGTTGTGTTAAGCCGATTTCGATACACGAAGCGTATCTATACGCTCGCTTCGCACAAACACCCACCCACCCACTTTGCACACTTTAGCCGTACCGTTCTCTACCACCCACAATATACGAGTTTGTGTGTAATGTATGCACATAATAAAAATATACTTTTGGTGAAAATAACGCGCGTCTTTGAACTTGCTGGTAATTTATAGCTGATGTGACAGTTTCAAAAGTGTTTGGTCCGTCATGATTACTTTTTACTCCGAATCTGCAAAATCAATTAAATTTACTAAAATGTAATTTAAAAGAAAAATGTATTTCGAGATAGATTTGAAAATAACGTAAGTGTTATAAAAATATATGAAAGTATCTTCAGTTTACATTCTTTACTAAAATTTGAATTTTGCAGTGATTTCCGAATCTCCAAAGAGTTAAATATAAAATTACTAGTAATTTACAATTCCGGCGCAATTAAGAGATCTCTACATAACATCAATGCAGCTTCGTATTTTAAATTCCTTGCTCTTAGCCAAATGCGGAGCACACGGTGGCAATTGCATTCAGTATGCAGCAACCGTTAGCAATGTCAACAAGTGCCGTCACAATAAARAATTGTATTTTTTAAAAGTACCTGTAAGGTACTTCTGTGCGAGAAAAGTTCCCCATAATTGGCTAACCTTTAATTATGCTAAAATTGAGTTTGTAAAAACATTCCAAAAATTTTGAAAAATAATTAATTTGAAATCGGTTAAACATGTCGATGGTCGAATTGGAATCGTTACTGTATCGGAAGCGGAATGTGGTGTATGCTTTTGTGCGTCATAAGCTAATGCTGCTCTGTAAACAGTCGGTGAGAAAAAGTGAAAATAAAAATTCTGCAGCTCCTCCATAACGGTGACGTATCGGTTAAAATGCAATCACTTAGTACCCACGTGCTGCTCAGTTTTTCGAAAATAGCCAATTACATAGTTGTTTAAGTGAACTTGAAAATTTGGCTAGCGTTCTAAATTTCTTTAGTAAACAAAGGAGACAGATTAACACAAGAAATTAATCAAAATAAATAGATTTCTTGTGCGGAAGTAAAAACAATTGACAAAATAAGAAATAAGAAATAATTCATAAAATAAAATATTAAAAAAGAAATTAAATACTAAAAAGAAAAGTAAATCGCTTTACATACGAACATAAGAATATATAAATTAATAAATCTAAAATAATAAATGTAACGGTTCACTGAATTATTTATTAAACACATTTTTTTTTTCCTTTCAGTTGATACGCGTGCAGTCCGCTGAAGGCATAAAACGCATCGAGATCTCACCAAAAGCTAATTTAAAGGAGCTCTTCGAAATGGTACAACACAATCTCAAAGTTGATGGCTTCGGACTCTTCAAGGAACGCAATTTTCTCACAGAGGTAAGCTTTCCACATATAATTATGTTATTAGCCTACTAATTGAAGATTCTATGTACATTACAGTTGCATTCTAGTCATTCGCAGAAAATTGGTTCCTGCCTTAAGCATGGCGATATGTTGTATCTGAAGAAAATTGCTGGAGGATCGATTCGTGTGAGTGCCCAAATCAGATAATTTAGCATAATTAAATCATAAAGCCTAGTTTTGATAGAAGCTCTTTTAAAAAAGAAAATTAGTATAAAGTTTGTAAGTTTTGCGGAACACTTTAATTTAAAATCCAGACCGAATAATAATTTGGTTGCGTTTCGATGCATACCATATGTCTCTCTTTCCGAACAAATATACGAATATACAGCAATAAGCACGTTATATATTTTATATACTTTTTCCATCCACCAGCGTACCAGCACCACAGCCATTGATGATTTTGAGACTTCGAGCGTTAATYTACCGGCAGCAAGCAGCACCATATTATTTCAACCATCTACCGCAGTCGTGGAAGATGAAGTGGACCAAACGCTAGCTAAAATAGATGGCTTAATCGAACGTCCGCGTGATCCAAAGCTGTAAGTTGAAGTTTAAATATGAATTCATAAAAAATACATTTCTAAATGTAAAATTAATTATTTTTGCCTCGTTAGTTGTCGTCACAATGCCAACGGTCGTTGTGTGCATTGCTCACCACTTGAACCGTACGATGATAATTATCTGAAGGAGCAAAAGATCAAACATTTGTCTTTCCATTCATACATACGCAAACAAAAGTCGGGCATTGATCGTGGCAAATATGTCGCTTTCGATGATATCAATTGCCGCATAAAGCCAGGCTGTCGTGAGCATCCCCCATGGCCCAAGGGTATCTGTTCCAAGTGTCAGCCATCGGCTGTCACGCTAAATCGTCAAATTTATCGACATGTTGATAATATTATGTTCGAGAATCCAACTATAGTTGAACGTTTTCTCGACTATTGGCGTACAACAGCYCATCAGAGGATGGGTTATCTGTATGGCACCTATGAAGTACATGCTGACGTACCRCTTGGTATACGTGCAACTGTCGCCGCCATTTACGAGCCGCCACAAGAATCGACACGTGACTCCATTCGATTGTTGGACGATGAAGCAGCTGCTGAGGTGGATGAGTTGGCGCAGGCCTTGGGTTTGAAGAAGGTGAGAAACGTAATTTTTCTAATTAACAAAACTGTTATTGAATTACAATTTGTATTCTTTAAATAGGTTGGTTGGATTTTCACTGATCTCATTACCGATGATCCAGCTGCTGGTAGTGTCAAGCACTTACGTGGCATTGAGACACATTTCCTCACTGCGCAGGAGTGTATTACGGCAGGCGAACTGCAAAACCGTCACCCGAACCCGTGCAAATATGGCTCTAGCGGTTACTTCGGTTCGAAATTTGTTACAGTATGTGTAACAGGTATGTGTATTGTGTACAAAATTTATGGAAATGCATAACTGTTGTTTTATTTTGTTTCAGGCGATAGCAGCAAACAAGTGCATACAGAGGGATATGCTGTGTCAGCTCAATGTATGGCTTTGGTGCGAGACAATTGCTTAATACCCACCAAAGATGCACCCGAATTGGGATATGTACGTGAATCAACAGACAAACAATATGTTCCAGACGTTTATTATAAGGTGAGTCAAATATTCATTTCTTTTTCTACCATATTAAACTATTAAAAAGCGTCATTAAGCCAATAGCTTAAAGCTTGAAAATATACGGCTGGCAAAACATTTCATCTAAATTAATAAATTCGAAAGTAATTCAGAAGCTGTAGTATAATATATTCGACTCATTTGATAAGCCGAACCAGCTTCAATGAATCCTAAAAATTCTTTGGCCAAAATATTAAATTTCTAGATCCGTTTATCTTTTGACCACCGTAGTGAAGTTACTCATTTAACCACTAAAATTTATGCATTGATATAAGTGTATTCCTATGGAAGATGTTGATTGAACTAAACCCTATCCAAAGCATAAAAATTGTCTGACAAAGTCTGCTCAATTTTCGAAAAATTACGTACTTTAAATAAAAATGCGGATAAGTTTCCGTCAAAAAGATTTTTCCTGAATTTGTGAAACTATACATAACCTAGGTAAACATTATAACTAAGCAATTACGATATAGATGCCCATAACTCCGCACCAGAAAACTAAAATTGTGCCTTCCCATCCTTCGTTACCCCCGTTCAATGGACATTAACACAAGGTAACTGCTAATATTTTATCAAACGACCCAAAACATTCTCATAAAGACCGTACCTTGAATCTGTTTCGACGGTAGTTATCATGAATTACGGGAATTGTAATCAAGGAAAGGGACTTAAATCACTAATTTCCTACTCAGTCATTTGTCGCTAAGGCAGATCCAACAGTATTCTGTTTGTTTGATAACAGAATAAACTTTTTTCCTGTGTTCCAATTGAGGTATTTTCTTTTTATTCTATAGAATCTGTAAATTATGGTGTTTAAAGCCAAAGTTATTGGACTGCAGTATATTAAAGTATCGGCAAACCTTGTTTTGTTTAAAATTCTTCGAACATTTCGTTATAAATAATAACCAAACTGTGCAATCCAGTACACAATTTAGTTTAAGACTAAATCACCAAAGCAGTATTTTACAATCCCGAATACCTTTGCTATTGTTTTACTACTCTGTGTCTTCGTATCGCCAATATTCTCCATGTTCAGTGAGGTGTTTACATTATAGTTTAAATTATTTATCCAAAAGCATTTCAAAATTTCCACCTCATTAATATCCGATAACCTGGCATTACAAAAGATCAGTAGATCTATTGAGGCATGACAGCTAGCCAGCGTAATTTAACCAAACCTTATATCCGATAAGTTGCAAATATTTTTCGATAACTTTCGAATGATTAGATCATACTTTCAATTAGTTTCCTTATCGATTCAATATTTCGCTCATGCTACCATTTTTGTTTTTCCATCATTTTTGTAACATTTTTCGATTTTTTCCTATTGTTCGCATAGTTCTCGATAAATCGATTACTATCGGATAGTTTGGGTATTTTTCGCCAACTCGATTKTTTCCCGATAAATTGATACTTTATCGATAACTCGAATGTTCCTGATAATTCGATTATTATTTATTTTATTTTTCGATAAATTGATTGCTTCCCTATGCACCGGTAATTTGTAGATAACTTTACTATTTCCCGACAATTTGATTATTTTTCGAAAATACATCGGTATATCTTCATTTAAATTTTTGTCCGATTTTATGTGCGTCACTTTTTGCATTATAAAGCGTGTACCGAGAATGAGAATCCGCTCTAAATAATTACATGTTGTTGTTGTTAGGGTTATCTAGTCCCCGTTCGGGTGGTAAGGTTCAGATAAGTTGTCATCGAGGTCATTAAGCGGTACGCCCAGGACGGAGTCGGACTAAAAGAAGAAGTGTGTCAGTTGTTTAGGGTTAGTTGATCATGCAAAAATATGGTTRCATACGGGTATATTTGGTATGTCTAGGTCGATTCCGGATAAGTAGGAGTTATACATGCGTTCAGTGCAYGTCTAAAGTTAGTTGCGTCCGGAGTCTGGTTGGCGTGTTGTCTTATGYCATCGACGTAGTTGAGGAAGGACCTCTTCATGCACCTAGTAGGCGGTTCCGCTTCAAGCAGGTGACTGYAGGGACGGTTTTTACGAAAACACTCCAGCAAAAACTGCTTGGAGAGTTCTCTATTTTGCTAATAAATATATATAATGAACATGTTATGATCGGCTTCTTCGATAACCCCTTAATTGAGCGAAGTAGCAATTTTTCTCGCCTTATAGACAATTGCTTTGTTGACTAAATTTAGGAGAATTTCGTAAATTTCTTCACTCAACTTTCCCACCAATTAAAAGACGTTTCGCTTCCTGCCCATTTATTCATAAACAAGGCGTTTAACATAACATTTAATAACATGTTTCTTTTCATACAATTTCCTTTAGTTTTTCGATATTTATTTTTATTAATTAATTATATATTTTGCTGCTTGTTCACATTTAACTTATAGCGTTTAACATCGAACAATAGATTACGGCTCATAACCGTATATAATACATTAACGCAGTTTGATTATTCAATTTGGAACTCAATCACTATTAATTCACGTTTTTCCACGTTTCCATCAACTAAAGTATAAATAATTTTTAAAACTAATTAATCTATATYCAAGTACGTACATTTCATCTAAGCGCTTAATTATTTTGTTGAACTTAAATCTTAAAGATGAAGTAAGAGAATACGCAGCCTGTTGTTAATTTCGAAACCCAAAAAGCTAATGCTCAAATAATGAATTATTAGATTATTTTCGTTTATGATTTTCTTTTCGTATTCTATGTAGTTTTTGCTTAAAGTTTTTCAGTAATTTTGTTTTTCTYTTTTGCTTTACATATATTTTATTTCAAAATTGTATGCTATTCATTTGTATTTTTGTTCGTTTGGCTCCGTTTTCGTTTTCGTTTTCGTTTTGTTTAACATTTTATTCACTTTGTACCAAAATATCTGCGCTCTGGGATTGTCCATTTCAAAATGTTGTAATCCGCTTTGGGTTTGTTTAAATTCAATATGAATTTCCTTTTGAAATCAAGAAATTCCTGCCACACTCTGGATCCATACTTTTCCATTCATTCAAATGCTGTTTTACTCGTAAATATATTTATTTATTTTCACAATGCTAACATTGAATATAATAGACATTTAAATACAATTAACACTGGTTTATGGTTTGCTTTGGATAACTGGATATGCCTTTTTTGTCATTAGATTATTTTTGACGTAATAAATATACTTTAACAATTACTTTTCGATAGAGTTTTTGGAAAACATTTTAAAGCATTTCCAGTTCGGAGTGGCAAAGTAGGAATTGAAGTGATTGGTATTTTTTAAAAAGCGTAGGATAATTTAACAAAATTAAAAAAGATTACTCGTAAGAGTTATATAAAAGCTTTTTTCGCTCGGAATTGTCATAACGGTTTGTACCTACTCTTTTCAATTACTTTAATTTTCAAACAAAAACATCAGTTAGTCGGTGCGGTGTGTTGAAATTTTCAGTTTTGTACTCAACTTCATAACCTTAAACTAAAAAGTATTTACAGTTAGAGCTGTTTATTTATTAAAAAATATTTTGAAGAAAGGTTGTCACTTATAGAGTTAAYGGGTGGGCTGAATTAAATCACAATACTACCGCTTTTGGTTTTTTAATTACTTTATACGTACTAGTTCCGCTTTCGAGTGCTACATTTTTTGTTAGTATAATTGTAGGTAATAAATCTAAGTCGTCAAAGAAAAAGTAAAACGGTTTATTCCTGTAAGTTTTCGAGTGGAAAATTTGTAAACATTATTTATATAGTTTTATGGCGGCTTTGGTGGTACTTGATTACATGTTTCGTTTGATTTTGTTTTCATTAGATGTGTGTACACTTGAGAATCCTTGAAAACTCTCTCTCATTTTTCTGCTTGTGTGGAATGTTGTTATTGTTGTAGAAATTTAGTGTATTTAATGCACTCAATTTTATTGAGAAATCCGTTAATTGTTATGATATTGCCTCAATAAACACAAAACCAGAAAAATCTATCCTTTAACCGATAAAACTGGACCGTTTTAACGCGCCGTTTGCGACTTCAAACCAATATTCGGGCATTTTCTGCTCTATAAAAGTTATCTTTTCAATCAACGCTTCTACTGTCCGCCATTATTTACCCGATAGCACCCAGCAAGTCCCTACTAATGGATCATTTCATGCAATTTTTATCGCTTGCATGGAAACTTCSTACCTAATCTTTCCGAGAATAAGTTAAATTATTTTGTTAGGGAATTTTTATTTTGGTTCGGAAAATTCGCTGGCATTTCATGGCAGTTTTGCCGTTGTGACGAATCTCGTGAACACATTTTGTATATTCAAATGGTTTTATCATTCTACTCGTTTGACTGAACACAATTTTGTAAAGATTTATTGTTGAAATTCGCAACATTACGTTTTCGGGAGAGAGAGAGAGAGAGAGGGAACAAATTAACATGTTAGAGGTATTCACAGTATTCGTTTTGTTTGCTATGTGCACATCGCGGGATTAACGTTGCACTTACGAATTTACTTTATGGCTTCTATTATTTGGTTTCCCTATGAAAGTGTTGGCAGCTTTTATGCAATAAATGTTTTTAAAGTTATTTCCATTGCTCTATGAATACCTCTTTTGGCAAATTGTATATTTTAAATGTTTTYATTTTCCTCTGTTGTGCTCACCACACGCTKGTGACATGTTCGTCGCCAAGATTAAGATTTTTCCATACTAAGTATTTTTGTGTGCCTCCGATTTTCTTAGTTTCGAAAGGTTGCTTGTACTGTTGAACGCATAAAGCTTTTGTACACATGTCAGTATATGGTATTCCGCGCGGCCATGTTTCGAGTCGATTTTCCGCTTATGTATTTTTGTTGTATATATGTATATATGTATGTATGTCTTTTCTATGAGTATGTATGAGTTAGTTGAACAAAATCGAATTTCAAACAATCTCCATATGTGTACGTTTTTTTTGTGTGTGTGTGTGTGTGTTTGTATATCGCGCATAGCTTAAGTAGTAAGTCTTTATAAGTGTATAACGTACTACATACATATTTATTTGAT